TAGGGACAAACGGCTACGTAACTGAAACATACCATTGGATCCGGCTCCGGGCATCGTCATGCGATCGTCGTCCTCGTTATCAACGAACCGATTCGAAACTTGTGCCCGAAAGCCTCTGTCTCCCTTAGAAGGTTTGTTCAGAATTGGGCTTATATCACGTGGGCCCATTAACCAATTAAAAACGATAAAATTTCTAACGAAACGACGACATTGCTTGGTTTTTTTTTTTATAATCCCACGAAATCAGCTGCTTATTGGGTGTGGACTTTTCTGCAGCCGACGTCTACTGTTGAGTGAGACAAAATATAGCTCACCGCCAATAGTATCTCGACACGTGTTCAACTATCACATGGTTCCCTGACAGCCGGTGAGTTTATCACAACTCCATCCGTTCCGCTAAGGCCACGCCTGAGCTCCTCCTCTCATTTTCCTCTGCAAAGACCGAAATTTCAAAGAACCAAAAGATCGGTTCGTAAACTTCTTATCGAATTTCTCATTCTCCGGTGACTTGCTACGGTATAATTCTCGGTATCTTGCTTTTTCCGGCGTCTTACGTTTTTCTGTTTGTGGAATTTCTCTGTTTTGTTTTTTGGAGAATTTCTGTTTGCTTTGTAGTTTCTTTTTCTAGATTTTTAGGGTTAGGGTACACTGTTGGTGGAAGTTTGTGGTAATTCGTATTCTGCCATAAGGATCCGTAGTTTTGGGTGAGCTTAATCAATTTTGCTTCGCGTTGACTTTTTTGTTTAACTGGATTTTGTTTGGTTTCCGTGTGATTCTATGGAACTTTTGGGTGGAAGATCAAATGTTTGGTTTTTGTTAGAGCTCAATTTTGATGATTTGTCCATATTGTTCGATTTCTGGGCGTCTTGTGTCACAGGTTAAGACACGACGGATCTTTTTTTTTGTGTGTGTTTTCCGAACTCTTGTCTATTAAAAATGCTGGAAACTTTGAAGATGTTCTGTCAGTTGCTAGATTTAAAACCTTGTTACCTTTTACAGACTTGAAAAAGTCAGGATTTTTCCTTTGTTAGCCATTTTATTTTAAGGAACATAACATGTCTAACATTGACTTGAAAATTGAAATCCGAAAGTTCAAATCAGAACCTTTTGTTTGTCGGGATCCATGTCACGGATACTACACTTATTAAATTTTTGTTGATCTTTTCCATTGCTTGGTGTTTGGCCTTCATGTGTTTATCGGCTAGGTCATTGTTCTACATCTTGATGGAAAAATAGGCTCTCTGTAACGGTTTTGTATTCTGACTCTTTACCTTGGTATATCAGAGTTGTTCAGAATGAGCCGACCTCAAGATCCACCACGCGGTTTCTTTCCCTTTGGAAACCCCTTCAGGATGTTATCTCCAAAGGGCTCAGATTTGTCTCCATGGCTGCTTTCTGTGTTGAATGACTTTGAGTTGGTCTTGGCAGAGAGGCTGAAAAAACTTATTCCCAAGAACAAGGATGACATCCTCACCATATCCTGGATGAAGCTGGCTATGGAGTCATTGTGTGAGACCCATAGCGACATAAAGATCCTCATAACTGATCTCCATCTTCCTGTATCTGATTGGGAGGATAAATGGATAGATGTTTACTTGGACATAAGTGTGAAATTGCTGGATCTCTGCAATGCTTTCAGCTCGGAGCTCACACGCCTCAACCAAGCGCACCTTTTGCTCCAGTGTGCCAAACACAATCTGGAATCCAGTTGCTCCGAGAAATACATCCGGGCCAGGTCTTCGCTCGATAGTTGGAGGCAACACGTTTTCTTGAAAAACCCTCGGATTGGAAATTGCTGTGCAATTTTGCACAGTCTCGTTGAATCCCTGAATTTGCCCAAAGTCAAGAACTCGCCCAAAGGAAAGGTTCTCATGCAGGCTTTTTACGGTGTCAAGGTTCAAACAGTTTATATATGTAGTGTTTTTGTCACGGCATTTTCTGGCTCAACAGAAGATCTTCTGGCTTTGTCTGTTTCGGGAAAACCGCTGTGGGCAAAGGCGGTTTCTGATCTGCAGATCGTTGTTAATGCAGAAATCAGAAACATAGTTTCCTCTGGTGGAGCCACAGTTCTAAAAGAGCTGGAAGCCATTGACGGAAGTGTCAAGAAGCTATATCCCATTATCCAAGATGGAATGAACCCTATCGAAGTGGAACCATTTACGGATTATGTTCTTGAAATGGGAAAGAAAGCGGAGGAATTCTCTCAAGGGCTGGATCAGCTAACGGAGGAAGTTGACGAGTTCTTCAAAATAGTACTAAGTGGGCGAGACACGTTGCTCTGTAATCTCAGATCGACCGACTCGGCCTCTAACTCTGCAGTAGGAAGAAATGAAGGGCAGAGGTGAGCTAACACCAACTGAAATACAAATACAGAGCCAAAGGGGTATGAAAGCATGTATTGTATTTGTCTCTAAGCTTGTTTGTATTAGATTATGTTCTGTACTAATTAACCTGCGTTGTCAGCTTTTATAGAAATATCCTGAAGTTGGTTTAAAAAATTATCTCTTTTTATTATGTTCAAGTTCTTGGATTCATCTGAACTCTGAAGCATTGCTCCGCTGAGGGAGACGACGGCGTTATATATATATATCTCTATATCTATATATATATACTATACTATACGAGTGGTTGTAACACTTTCAGTAATTCTCCTTTTTTGCCAAGAAATATGTAAATCCTGACTTGGGATCACAGTCAAATGTCGATTCGTGCTAATAGGGTTTCTCGACGGCGTGATTGCAGCCGGAATTTACAGGATACCGGATGATTCCGGTGCAATTAACAGTATGAAGCTCCGATAGGATTCATTCATGTCGAAATTTTCTGATTTGTTTTTTGTTTTGGGAAAAGTAGTGCCCTTTCCGAGTTTTGTCCGGATACTTGTACAAAATCCAATCTTTATGGACAAGATTCATGTTTTTTTTTGGGTAAAGGTCGGATCTTTTTGAGTTTGGGAGGCTGTCTTGATGACCGAGTGCATCATGTGACCTTTGCACATAAATTACTTGTGTTGAAGCTCCATGTGTCAAGCTGAGAGTGATAAGGCTTTGTAGCAGAAACCCTCACAGATCCTCTGTCTGAAAAAAGGTTAAAGGCTTTGTTTTTTTGGTTTTTGATTCACGGGTCTCTCGAGATCGTTTACAGTTCAAAAGCTTCACATGGCTCCCTTTTTTTTCTCAACTTCCAGGGAGGGAGAGAGAAAAAAGCACCCAGAAAAATGTGGAGACAGGTCGAAATCCGACAAGCCTTTTTCATGAGCCTCATCTCTCCTGCCTAAGAGCTCTCAGAACAAGTCGCCGGGTCCTGTATGGTTTAGCTCTGGTCTGATTTTGGGGGCATCAGGAGAGAGAGACATGTCTGCTGAATCGAGCTCAGGTTCCAGCGATCACAGCATCAAAGTTGTACCCACGCATGGCGGGCGCTACATTCAGTACAACGTGTATGGACAGCTCTTTGAAGTTTCCAGGAAATATGTCCCTCCCATTCGTCCGATCGGTAGAGGTGCTTGCGGTATTGTCTGGTGAGTATTTTCAGACACGAATCTTTGTCCTTGTAGTTGAAAGTTCATTACTTTGTTGAATGTATCTGTTTATTGAGGCTGCTACTTCATTTAAACCTTACAACTTTGTTCAAACTCATGGCGAAAGGCCTGCTCTTCTGGTTATTGATTCATGATCATGAATTAACTGACTAAGATTCTATATGGGGTTTCTGAGAAAAGTTTCATAATTCTGGTTTCTCTAGTGCTGCGGTGAATTCAGAGACGGGAGAGAAGGTGGCCATCAAGAAGATTGGTAATGCTTTTGATAACATTATCGATGCCAAAAGAACACTGCGAGAAATTAAGCTTCTCAGGAACATGGATCATGAAAACGTAAGCCCCAACGACCCGGTTTCATTCTCAGTTGATACCAGAAATCTAAGTGCTGCAGCTGCAGTGTCTGCTTTCAGACTGATGCTCTGTTTTTACATGAAAGCTCTGTTTTCTTGTCCGTTTCTGCGTTTATACTTGTTAGAGTCCTCTCTCTGCCAATAGTTTCTTACAGATGCCTCCTGTCTTCTTCTCAAGTGTTCCGGCTCTTCATAAATGAGGCAAACTGAGATATCTCTGCTTTCTTTCCAGTGTATCAAGTTTAATTCAGTCGCCCTCTTGATTCTTTACTTATAAGCTGCTTAACTTTGTGTTTTAGGTAATCACTATCAAGGATATCATCCGACCTCCACAACGGGAGAATTTCAATGATGTTTACATCGTCTACGAGTTAATGGATACAGATCTTCAGCGAATCATTCGTTCTGACCAACCTCTGAGCGATCACCAATGTCGGGTAGGCATCTGCTCGTTCCGTTGAATGTCATCTTTCTTACATGCTATGGATCTTCATACTTTAGTGCTCATTAGAATCATAGATTATGGAAATCAGATTTGATGTGGTAACTTACTGCAATTCCTGCAGTACCTTCTGTACCAGCTGTTGAGAGGGCTCAAGTACGTGCACTCGGCCAATGTGTTGCATCGCGATCTAAGGCCGAGCAATTTGCTTCTCAGTGGGAAATGCGATTTAAAGATTGGAGATTTTGGGCTTGCAAGAACGACTTCAGAGACAGACTTCATGACAGAATACGTTGTGACCCGCTGGTATCGAGCTCCTGAGTTACTCCTGAACTGTTCAGAGTATACTGCAGCAATCGACATTTGGTCAGTGGGTTGCATTCTTGGTGAAATCATGACGAGGCAACCGTTGTTTCCGGGCAAAGATTATGTTCACCAGCTTAGGCTTATTACAGAGGTAATAACCCGAGTTTGGGTTTCTGTCTTTTGCTGTCCTGAACCAGTGGCGTCATAATGCCATTACCTGACCATCGTTCTCCTGTATTGTTGGAACAGCTCGTAGGTTCTCCGGACAATTCCAGCTTAGGATTCCTCCGGAGTGACAACGCAAGAAGATATGTCAGGCAGCTTCCACGATACCCAAAACAACAGTTTACTGACAGATTCCCGAACATGGCACCGGCTGCTGTTGATCTTCTGGAGAGAATGCTTGTCTTTGATCCTCACCGGCGTATCACAGGTAAAAGACTAAGATCGTAATGCCCCCTTTTCAAGCTGAGTTCGAACATTAAAGATTGTGCCTTTCTGGTGGTGTAGTTGACGAGGCTCTGTGCCATCCGTACATGTCACCTCATCACGACATAGAGGCAGAACCTGTCTGCTCGGCTCCTTTCAGTTTTGATTTCGAGCACCCTTCTTGCACTGAAGAACACATAAAGGAGCTCATCTACAACGAGTCCGTGAAATTCAATCCACATCACTGAAATCATTTCTCGCCCCGGGAAGGGGAATCGTCCTGAGGGTTCGATTATTCAGGCAAAGACTCTGTCTCAACTGGTACCTGTCCTGAGTTCAGTGTGAATTCAGATCAGTTCCATCTTTTATCTCAAAGCCCATTTTAGTTGTACATTTGCTATGATATATACATATATATATATATATGGAAGACGCAAAATTTGAAAGCTTTTGGTTATTTTTAAATTTTGATCCTCTAAAGGATCAAGGGGGCAACAGAGAAATATTTCTTTGTAAGAAGAGCTCTTGAGCTCAAAACATCAGTCGTCGGAGTTCATCGCTCATGCAGAAAAACCCGTGCAAAGATTCATACCCTCTCTGACGAACCCTCCTTTCCCCACAGCGGTTTTGATCCGTACACGGACTCCGGTCGGAAGGCGGTGATGTCCGCCGCTCTGACAGCCATCGATCACCATCTGTCTCGTCGGACCCAATATGTGGGCCCACATGGACTCGGTCCAAGACGGAGGCTTTCATTACTTATCATCTAATAACATGCAGTATTCTTAAATTTAACCAATTTTTCAACTGAACGAGCAAGTTCTTATACGAAATCTTCAAGAAGAACACATCTTGGAGGACAGAGAAGAGGATAACATAAACATGAACATGAACATGAACAGTTTCTAAAACTGAACGAACAGACATATAATGTAAGCAAACAGTGTACTTTGGTAGAGGAACTGCGATTATTTTGCCTTTGGGTCATACCATATACCATTTATCTACACACGTGAAAAGAGAGAGTAACAAAACGCTTGATGTTCTTCTTCAAGTTTATAAGAATATGGAAAGCATATAAAATAATAATACCTCACTATCAACACCATTTTCAAGACACCACTGAACCTGTCTTTGCTTCTGCGGCAGTCCCCGACAGCTTGTCTTCTAGCATCTCGAGCAGCTCATTGTACTGTCCGAAACTAGGGTTTGACTGAAACAAACAAACAAAAATTGCTGAGAGAATGGTAGAGAAGACAGACAGGGGAAAGGGTTGATAGTTAAGAAGAAAGAATATAACCTGTAGTGTCATGCTGTATGCATTCCACAATCGCAGATCATACCGGAAAAGATCATAAAGAACCTGTGTCCATATTAAACACATGGAAGTTGGTGAGCGAACCCGAAAATGGTGGAAAATTCGAGTTTTGAAAAATGGTTTGGAAAGGAATCATCATACATCGGACCGTCTTAAAAGGGTAGCTAGAACAACGATCCATTCTTTGAACTTCACCGAGCACATGTGAGCCAGTAGGAATTCTGCGTCCAACCGGCTTTGTAGTACACCCATTTGCAGCTGAAAAATGATTGGGTAATATAGGATGAATACAATTGTGGAAGAAAAATATGCAAGAAAGCACCACAGTTTAACATCTACCAACTACTACTAGTACCTTTTGCCCAATCAGTTCGAGTCCTGAAGCGAAATTCTCCAACCGTGCACTACCATATCTTTCTCGTTGAAGAAAATCCTGGAATAGTTACTAAATATCTTAATACCGGTCCAACCATAAGTGAATGGAGACATACAGATTTCTATCCTCGGGTTTCTCTTACCACAACATCAAATTGAGTGCCTTTCACAAATGCAACTAGCTTTGAGAGTTCCTTCTCCGACATCAAGTAGCTAGCATGACTTTCCAAAATGTTCCTCACGGAAGCAACATGAGGACTCTGCTCTTTGAAAGAGGAGCTGCTTCACAGAAACACAATTCAAATGCTCACACTCAAAAGGCAATTAATTGCACATTGTCGACAATTGACCAGTAACAAAGTTATGGTTCCAACCTTTTATCCAGAGATGGGTTCTTCTGGCTGGAACGGAAAAGAAAATATCCCAGGAGTGTGGGCGATGATTTTTCTGAATCTGTTGGTGCCTGTTCAATCTCTCTTCCAGATCTAAGCAAAAACCTCACCTGTGAACATAGTGAGGAAAGGAGATAATGATATTTGCATGAATACGAGCTTCAAAATGTCCTAAATAAACAAACAACAAGAACACCAATAAAATACCAGCTCTCCGGCGAGATCATACAAAGATTCATCAAGTGTTGCCTGCATACATTCAAATGTCTATTTTTCAGTATTTATAATCATCATATGCAGTAAAACAGAAAGTAAAAAAGGGCCCAGGATATAAATTCCAAAACCGATGACAAGATTACTTGCAATAGACGTAATGCACAATACTGACTGACTGCAGCACCTTCCAGCTTTGCAATCACCTGCACCACATCCACATTTACATGGTAAATAGAAAGAAAAAAATCAAGCACAGAGAATTACTTATTGAACATTATCGAGAGGAGAGAACTTCAAATTCTTACAAGTATATAACAAGCTGCGGTACGATACCATCTCCGCTGGAAGCAGTCCTCAAATAGCCTAGAGCCGAAAAAGAAAAGTAAATCAAAATTAGAATCTTCGTATAATGCATAGATTGCAATACACAGACAGCAAGTATACAAACATTGAATAAATTTTCAATCCTCCACAACTAAACACTGAAACAGAATCAAGTATGTGCCATAGGGTATTAAAGGCTAATACAAGTTGCAACAAACAAAAAACATCAACCCAGAAATAAAACTAGGAAAACATACTCTGTTGATCTCCCAGCGGCAGAGAACAAATCTGCCCAGTGACGGGCATCAGTTTTCCTGGCAACACTCACGACCACATCATGGTACTCCGAAAAATTCTTTATCAAATCACAGGATTTCTGCAAAAGGGATACTTTCTGAAGATGCCTATGACCTGAGTTCTGGATCTTGTTAACATTCGGCCTGATAGTTTCAAAATATCACATATTTAGAAAACAATAAAGCAAAGCAAGGTAGAAGGTAGCAATTAAATCTAATGATGCTTCAAGAAGACACATGTGTAACAGACCAAATACATATAATAAAGATTTATTAGAAGTAAAAGCAATGATTGGATATACCTAGAAATCTCAGCATCAAAAACAGTGAAAAGAAGCCACTCAAGGCAATGGGAAAAGTGAGGCTTCTCCGCTGATAATTGAGCCAAACGTAATGCCTCTTCATTTTTGTCTCTCTGCGCACATCATAAGAGAACAAAAAATAAGAATACTAGTGTAGTTATCAGCAGGATAGAGGAAGAAAGAAGAACATGATGTAGACAGAAAAGCCATTATACTAAAAGAAAAAGTGAAAAGAAACAATACCTGAAGGAGGTGTCGGAGCAAGCAATGGAGTATAGTCTGCGCCTGAGGTGTAGGTTCAAAACATGGAAACTCTGTACATGCTGAAAGTGACATTCTCTGAGAAACTCCAACAACAACACCAGCATTGGGTAGAAGTCCCAGTGGGTACACCTCACGATCAAATTCCAACTCAGGATCCAACTAAAAGATAAATTATTTATGAAGTCAAATAGTGTTTGAGTCCAATAGATCACACGAAAATGAGTTAATGGATGAAGATAATCTCATTTATCCAAAGAAGACATGTTTGAACATACAAATGTGGACCGTCAGACGTGATGGTCACTGTCATGGACAATAGAAAGATAATCTAAATTTAAAGGAATGAGGAAATAACATCAACGACAATAAAAAAGCTGGGCCTTAGTAACATGCATACCTGCAAGAAATCCTCCTGTTTATATGGATCAGCACCTAGAGAGGGATACCAAACCTGTAAAAAGTGAGCTTTTAACAAGAAACCAAATCAGGAAAGCAAAAAATACTAGGACCAAGTAGTTTAGTAGTCGTTCAATCATCTTCAATCATTCTAAGAAAATGAAAAACAGACATGGATCCATGGTACAATATGACCGAAAGCATCCATGAAGCAGTAGAATTACCTGCATTCCCCTATGCCCATAATCTAGCCACGATACTTCCTCGACTAGATTTGTCTTTTCCTCAGATTGACAGCAGGTCACCCAAAATAGCTCAACAGAATCTGTAAGTTCCCTCTCCCGTCCATCAACCAAATCGAGAAGTGACAGCTCCCCATTTGCCCTCAGTATAAGACACCTAAATAAAACAACAAAACCATTATACATATGAGAAAAACCGAAATAGATGTTCTATTTTATCGATAATTACCTTGAAGGTTCCCCGTCTGACAAACCAGCAGACGAATCATTATTCACATTGCATTCTCTTGGATGCTGATCAGGAACAAACCGCATAGCTGCTGGATGGCTCTTTGCCGTCATTATGGACAATTCCCGTACTGCAGAAAGCTGTTTGTCATTTTATTACTTAAAAGAGCATGAACAGAAACTCGAGCACTCTCAGGAAAAGAGAAAATTCCATTTCTGAGCATCCACGTCTACTGAGACTGATAGCAACTAAATTATAGACTAGAAATAAGTAATTACCTCCAGATCCGGTTTGCTGGAAGGAGTCAATTCACCACATATTTTGACATGGAATATTTGAACGTCAAATGGAAGATAAGAAACAAGTATGTAATCCTGATACACATCCATCACCATTGGTTTTGCAAGGAGGACCTTGCGACAAAGTAAAGAGCTCTGATCAAGATGATATCTTGGATAAAAAAGTAACTCATACCTGCAATTGATAAATGAAAACATAAGTGAGAAAACATAAGAATATTTAAGCAAAACAAAAGAACAGAAAATATTTAGCATAAATTAAATCACAATGAAATGCGAATTTGCCAGACTTCTACCAAATTTCATTTTTCCACAGATTCATTGACATACAAAACCGCTTGCCAATCGTGTATAATGATAAAGTTGTTTAAATACAACCGAAGATATAAATTGGCTCTCACGTGTCTGAACCGTCGATGTAGTTGCAAATGACCACAATCTTTCCCAACCATAACAAACCCTTGCACTGAATCTTTTGTTCCTGACTGACATCTCCAAACACCCGCCATTTCTTCAATCGAATGTCATATAAAATAAGACCATGGAGGCCAGCAACTGCCATGTACTTCCCATCCGGACTAGCTGCCACATGTCGAACAGGCCAATTTTGAGCAATGTAAGACACCTGGTCCAAGGAAATAAAATATATCAAAAGCTGTTTCAGTGGATGCTGCTGCAAGGACAGCCAAAAGATATTACAAGTATGTTGACACTCAACTGGTATTTTAAGATGTAAAAGCTTAAGCTCGTCAGTGTCCTCAGACTGAACCATGAGAAGTCTGTCTTCACCATAAATCACCTGACGAACATATGTTTTTCCTGAAACTCCTCTGTTCAAGCAACATTTTCCAAAAGAAAATGCAAGAATTCTGTCACAAGATGCCTCCTCGGTAGCATAAAGTCTATATCCATATTCATCCCACTGGATGACTGATGTGCCATTAATCAGTGGTTCATATTTACAGTCTTGGCTTGGCTTAATTTTGGGAGAAGAAGCAGAACTTAGCCCAATTTGGCGAATGGTTGACATCAATCGACATCCAGAAACGGACCAAACACTGAGGCCTCTCAACTTCCATCCAACTGCAAAAGCAGAATTATCAGGCGTCCATGCAATACTACTGACAGCCCCAGTGTCCTCCACTGAATACCTGCAAGTAATAAGATACAGTATCTTCAAGCTTGTATCAAAATACACATAACATGAAGAAAATTATAAAAAAATCAAAACCAATCACCACTATTACAAAAGGGAATTTTGTGGAACTAGTCAAATTCAGCATTTCCAGTTTCTAGAAGTTAGAACAAGGATAATCCATCGCATCAAAACTTCCAGTAGCAAAAACATTACATTCTTGTTTCTACGCAGTTACATGAGATGGATGACAAGGACTTCTTCTGGGGAAACGGGAAAAGGGAAACCTACCAAAACTAGCTTTATAGAAATAACCCTTTAAAACTAAAGCTGGAATCAAAAGAAGACCTACAAGGCAATAAAGTCGCAGCAAGTTACTTACCCCCAATCGTGCAAAGAAACCGTGCGTATGAGAGACATTGATTGTGAGAGGTCATATAATTCGACCACCCCTCTACTTGTGCCAATAGCAAGAATTTGTTGCTCTGGAGCCGCTGATGCACAAACAGCATCACTAACCAGCCTCTTCTCAGCTTTAATACTCTCAGTATGTTTTAAACCTTTCTTAGTTACAGAGCATACCACTAAGTGCCCATCAGAATATAATACAAACAATAACCTCAAACGACTGCAGAATTCCAGCTGAACAATGGCAGAGTTTGTTGAGCTTTTTTCATCACAGGCAAAAGCAGCCGAAGCCTCTCCAGAAACTAGACCATTACCAAGGGAGTGCGGCGAGAGTCTATCATCTTTGCCATCACAAAGATGGGGGTCGAAATTGAAAGCTCCGCCAAACTACGAAGACAAATGTGAACATGTCAATCACATGTCCTGAATGAAAAGAATAACAAAATCCAGAAGAGAGTTCCAATATCAGAGATTCAGAACTATGAAAACCAGACACAGGAGGCAAGTCTAAGGTACCTCTCCTTTCCAGGAAATGCTATGCAAACATCCATCAGAGAGTCCCATTAGCATAGTTTTGCTGTCACTGACAATGTTGCTCCTGCACACAAAAGAAGGGAAAGAATAGCAGCCAAGGTGACACCAAGGCACTGATTGACCAAGGGCATAATCTACATAGACTTCCACTTCATTCAGGCCAGCTGCTCATAACCAATTAGTGGAAATGAAGAGCAGCACTCTCTTTTAACCAAAGAAAAAAAATGGAAACAACTGAAACAGAATATGAGGAGCGAAAAAACCTACAAGTATTCTAAATCTGCTTAAGCCACCATTTTGTAGAGTTTTAGCATAGAAAATGACACTACAAGCTTAATCTCCTACATACACGTTCAGCATAAAAGAACAGTATAAGAATGGACATAGTAGATGACCTAAGGAGTTCGTGTGCTAGATCAATTCTAGTAATTTAAAGAGACATCAGCAAGAGGATAATGCCAAACGGCCCCACCCCCTACATATTTATCTCACACCAAAGAATACAAATTCATTCGAATCCAGAAAACAAAACCTCAGCAAAGAAGATCAAACCACTCAGCTCAGACTGAGACTTGACCTAACAATTCTAATCCTAAAGAATCATTGTGTGGAATATGTTTAAAAAACATATGAACAAGAAAGACAAGCAAGGGAAAAGGAACTTACACAGAGATGTCTTTACCAGCAAAAGGGACCTGCTCGCTTAGCAAAATTGATATGGACGCAAAAAACAAATCCGAGGGTTGTCTCTCGCCAGTTTTTATTCTTTTATCCGTAAACTTGATTTTGTAAATATGAAGGAAGAAGGCTGATGTCTGAAAAAGTGTAGTAAGAACAACAACACTGAAAATGGTGAAAACGCATGTGTGAAAGCAGATAGTTGATTCAGTTCAATAAATGCACAATCAAACCAACGATAAAAATCTTAGCTCCACGACTAAAGGCTGTCAAGATTTCATTCTCGAGCAAAATTCAAATTTCTGAGGACTCGGAATCTCATCCCCGTAGCGCTCCTAATACTTGGAGAAAAGGGTTATACACAATTATACGTATAGAACAATATACAACGCACTTCCTACACTGGGTTCAATCGATTGACTGTTTGACAGAAGGATAATCTCATCAGCTAACAACCGAAGCTAGAGAGAGAGAGAGAGAGAGAGAGAGAGAGAGTTACAATGCAAACTTACAAGAACAGCGATCAATTTGGCGTCAGGACTCCACACAGCTCTCATATTCTCCCCTTCTTCTCGCACCGACTTCTCATCTCTGAGGTACTTCCCCAACCTCACTCGGTGCTGGACAAAGACCCACCAAAAGAGGCAAATGAACACCCTCGTTTACCACCTCTAAACCCTAAGTTCCGGTAGGAACTCCGACACTGCGAATCATAAAGACAGCTTAGAAAATGCAGAGACAGACGATGCACCTGAGAAGAGCCCCAGAGCTCCAAGTGCGACGGAGAGACAACGAGCAACAACCGGCCGGCGAGCTTGAGGTACACTACGCGCTGCGAAGACGGACACGACCCCGGTTCCAAAGGAATTACCTGCGGCCATCCGTACACCATATACATCTCGTCCCCTTTCCCGAGGAAATTCCGACCCCTACAATTCACTCTCTACAACGGATCTGATTCCGAATAGATGAAACCAGGCACTACGTTCATAGATAGAGATCAGATGAGCGTTTCGACAAGGAGAAGATCGAGAAGAAGAGAACGAAGAGACTGGATCTCACAGATCCATTAACGGAGCACGGAAAAAGAAACAAAAATTCGTGTATTGGCAAGTGGCAACAAACATAAAATTGACGAAGAAAAAAAAATGAAATTTAACTGAAGAGAAAAAAAAAAGGAAAGAGCGTTAGTGGATCGGATTTTGGCTAACAGGCCTATTTGGATGAGTCAGGCCCAAATGAGGCCGATTAAGCCCAATTAGAAAGGCCCATAACAAATATCCCTTATCTATGTTTGGCAAATTGGCGATGTAAATGGTTTTTATTTAATGATTATTCAACTTCGATTTTTAATTTAAAAAAAAAACATTCCAATGCTAAAAAATCTAACATTAATATTTTAAAAAAAATCAACAAAAATCTAATAAATGATTTTAATAAATAAAATAATTTATATAATTTAAAACTTAAACTTTATTGATGATTTTGTTCTCTGTAATTAAAAATAATTAATGAAAGAAAAAGCACCAAAACACGTGAATGTTAGCGTTATGACACGGAATAATATAACACAAACATGATGGGGGTGGGCGTTATGTCATGGCGAGCCATTATTATTGTTATCGGGATTTGGAATTGAATGAAACATGACACGAAGGGGGGAAGGGGGGAGAATTACGTGAAATAAAAATGGGCCCCATTTACATCTAGGGGTTTAATTACAAGTGCAGTCCATAGAATAACAGTGACATGACAACAGAGTGTGACCATGGATCATCGAACACCTTAAGAGGCGATTGGGCCATGTTACTCTCTTTGTCTCGGCCTCCCCATGCATTTCACGACAACCCATCTCTCATCGGTTACTCCTTTGTACTCACCTCCTTGGATATATATACTATATGATTGATATTATACATATATATATATAGCTTATTTGATCGGTCCATTCGGTGAATTATTTGGACCTACCTTTCTTATTGAATGGAATCTATAAGAATGATAATATGAATTCAAATTTGGATAGTTCAACTGAAATATAGACGCAAAATGGTGGACCCAAAACATTTTATTAACTGGGTTGCTAATATATATACACACATATAAATTTGTAAGTATAAATTTAATTTCGGTTTGTAATCATACTATTGATCAAATGAGTCCGTCCATAGAAATGTATAGCATGTGTATCGTCTAGAATTCGAATTTCAAATTTGGGGAGAGAACATATAATCCAAATCATATGGATGACTTCTGATTTCCGATTAGTTTGGATTTTGGTAAAGAATATCCGATTATAAAAAAAATGATAATGGGTAGAAAGATGATATGTGGTAGAGTAAGACTGTCTCGGCCAATGCACAGAGCCGTTCGAAGGTTCAGTTCAGTGTGGTCGAGTCGAGGTGACGGATCCGGTGGGTCCATGCCACCGACGGCTTTGTCCCCTCCCTCTCTCTTTATCTCCTTTAGTCGGTCCACTTTACTCGGCTGAAAACAATGCCCCACTTTTTTTTCTTATTAATTATAAATTTCTTGAATTTATGCTTTAAAAAAAACAATGTATTGATTATAAATTTATTGGATTTATGTTTTTCCCATTTTTTTATAAAAAAAAACCATTTTCAAAATGGAGCCTTTGATTGATTCTCATTGTCCTTGATGCAATCATTCATATGACCCACACCATTCTTTTTCTTCGTTTTCTTTTTTCCTGTCCTTGTAACGCTTCGACCTAATTTCTTGTATAAACCAATGTGTATCTATGTGACATATATATATATATATATGCTTGGCTGTTACCATTCTAACGATTGGTAATTGTATATATAATTCCGAGATTCCCATAATGAAATTAAAAATGAACCGACTCTATGTGTCAATGAAAGTAGATAGTTTTATACTCCACTTATTTTTTTCAATTCAAACCCTTTAAATTTAAAGAAAATGAGAAAATTCAGCGTATATATATAATGTTCTTATAAATTAGTAATTGCAAAGTTTAACTTAAATATTTCTTTGTTGAAATTAAACTTAAGGGTGATCATTCCACGTCAAGATCCTGCGCACATGTGCGGTTTATGTTCCAAGAGCTTCTCATCAGTCTATAAATCCCACAATGCCTGTGACAATAACAAATCACAGACCAATCCTTTTTTTCTTTTATGCTTTTTCCCACTCATTCTTTCTCTTTTCATTGGAGCTTCTAAGAATAATTTCACAGTCATGTAGCTTTACCACCGGTCGTCTTCCTCTATAAAAGAAACTTCCCGTAAGTAAATAACAACTAATTTTTCTTCCACGGAGAAACGGGAATAAGAAAGAGGAAGAAGAAAGGGAAGCTGAAGCTGAAGCTTTTTGTTTTCTCTTTCTAGAATCTAACCGCCGATCGCATTTTCTCTCTCTTCAAACCCTAGCTCCATGGGCTTTCCTGTCGGGTACACGGAGGTTTTCCTGCCGAAGCTCTTAGTCCAGACGCTCTCCGTTCTCGGGTTCATCAGAACCATCGTCTCCTCCCTCTTCCGCTTCCTGGGTCTCTCCGATTTCCTCGAGATAGATCCGAGTTGGCCCGATTACTCGTACCCCACCCCGACACCCGACTCGTCGCGCCCGCCCTTCTCCGCCCTCCTGATCCGCGAGATCCTGCCGGTGATAAAGTTCGACGACCTGAATCCCGGCGCGTACGGCGGAGATCTACCGGAGAGCTGCGCCGTCTGCCTGTACGAGTTCGAGGGCGGGGAAGAGATCCGGTGGCTGAGCAATTGCAGGCATATATTCCACCGGACGTGTCTCGACCGTTGGATGGATCACGATCAGAAGACGTGTCCTCTCTGTAGAACGCTGTTCGTCCCGGATGAGCTGCAGGACGAGTTCAATCAACGTCTCTGGGCTGCCTCCGGCGTTCCTGATTTCTACGATGTGTACAGTCCGGTGCCGGAGTTGTAGATACGCCCCCTTATCTTTCTCTTCTTTTAACTTTTCACCCCCTGTACTCGTAATTATTTCTCTTTTAGCCCCGGCTGATTTTAATTTACTCCTTACACCCACTCTGTAACACAGATTGGAAATAAAAGGGAAACAAAGAAAAGTTGTACTGTACATTTTGGGGTTAAATTTTAAATTTTCCGGGGTCGTTTGCGACTAAATCAAGGTGATTTTTCTTGATTTAAAGTTTGGACCCTTAAGTTTCCATTTATAGTAACTCTAAGTGCTTAATTTAATACATGGAAATGGTTAAACCGAGTTGTTAGGATCTTGTCAGTCCTTGGACCAGAATCTATGGTTTTTTTTAATCTATCTTTGATTTTCCCTTTGAATGTTATTTAATGTATGTGTCAGACTTTTGTATTCGAACAAGGATCTAAGTTCAGTTTCGAATCAAATTCAAATGTAATAATTGACTGCGAAAGGGTTAAAAAAAAACAAAGTGAAAGTTAAGGATCTCATGAAAAAAAAAATTACAGCCGAGGGACCTGCAGATTAACCATTTTATATTATATGATCAGTTGAATAGTATTTTTTTCATTAATTTTACTTTCTTCGTATTGTTTAACATTTCTTTACTTCAATTATCTTAAAGACTTAAACCTTATATTTCTTAACATGAAAATATAGTTGATCCTATCACTATTTGTTCACGTGAAGATGCTACTTACCCTTTTTATCTCATCTTTTCCCATAAAATATCGAATGAATTTTGTTTTTAAATGAAAAATTTTATTTTCAGATTTATTTTGAAGTAAAAATTATGAGATATATTTTTAAGTAAAAGAGAATAGATAAAAGATTGTTGTTAAAATAAAATATTCTTCTAACCACAAAATATAAAATAAATTATGTGTTGGTTATGCTTTTAGATTTTTAATAACGACCAGCTAGAATTCGATTCATAGACAGCGGAAATGTTATCGTTCGTGACCTAGTATTTCGCATGGCGCGCAATTACAATTTCAAATTTAAATAATTTTTTTTATAAAACGGCGTATTTATAGAAAATGTTATAATGATCTGTATCGGTAAATACATACATAATACCACTTTCTTACCAAAAACGTTGCTTATACGCCCTTTTTGCATTTGGGGGGTAAATGGTAGAATTTGATTATTACGATCAATTTTTTTTTCTTGGTCTTTTTATTCGTATGTTAATAATGATTTACCGTATTCAAACGAATAAAATAGAAACAAATAATCCCTAGTACTATCGTTTTTTTTTCTTCATGTGATTGATATTATTTCTAGGGGACTCAACGGTATAATGCGACAATATTAAGGAAAATAGAAACAAACGGTCCCGAGATTAATTTGGATCTTGGTTCATCATATCCGGTTACAAAATATATATATATATATATAAACCGGGTGCAGTTGAAGATGACCGTATGTTATGATTACTCTCCATTTGTAAATATAAGGAAAGTTCTATAGTTTCCATTGCGCGCTTGTACAACGAATAATACCTTATTCTCTTTAAATATATTGAACTTATTTTTGCTGGAAATTAATCGTGTTAGATTTTATTTGGACCACATTTAATAATTTAATTACTGATAATCATCTAATATATTCCACGGGAAATTCCAATTAAGGGAGAGTCTAAGCCAAACAGGGGAAAAAAATGAACCAAAAAAATCCATGTATACAGATATTTGCATGTATAGGTGTGTCAGCGCAAATATTAGCAGACATTTGGAGACTAGCAGTGTCGTCGAAGCTTGTAATAACCATTACAAAGATACTCTCTCTCTCTCTCTCTCTCTCTCTCTCTCTCTCTCCCTCTCACCGTGTCTCTGCGTGTATGTGCGTGTGTGGGATGTGATGAGAATAAGGAAGAACCACAAGGCGGAGGTTAGAGAGTTTCTGTTCCCGGAGCTGCCGGCCGGCGAACCTCTGCCGCCGGCGTACGACTGTAAGGTCAACCGGTCGCCGTGGGACATCCCTCGCGGCCAAGACCCTTTTGCTTACACTCTTCCCCTCCCTCCTCTTCCTCCTCCCCACGTACGTTATACATATCTCACTTCTCCATTGTCATTTTTTTATTATTAGGGTTTTTACATGAGTCGAGACCCACCCATGTTGTGTCGCGTTAGGGTTTCGTGTTTTTTTTTTAATTATATATATATATATATATATATATGTCGTCATTTATTGGTGATCAGATCGTCCGAGACGCGGCCTGGTCGAAGAATCCAGAGGGCGAATATGATGATCCAATGGGGTATTCCACTAAAACTAATTTCTCATCCTCTTGGATAACGATCAATCTGTTATTATATTATCTCATACAGGTTTCTTAACTATTCTCTGACATAGAGCCACGAGTGTGAAAGGCAATGCCGAGGGAGAGAGAGAAGGGAGCGAGGTTGATGAACGAGGAGAAGAAACTGAAAAGCATAGGTCGGATGACAACTGGGAAATCAGAGACAAAGGCAAAGACACACTGAAATATTACCGAAGATGCAGAAAGAAGCCCCTTGCCGAGGTGGCGGAGGAGAAGGAGAAGGCGGATACTTGGCCGCCGCCGCGTCGGAGCCAAAGATCCACCGCTGGGTCGAACCCTGATGACGAGCAATATTACTATTACTCGAGGTTTGGGCGAAGACGAGGCAAGAGTACGAGAAATGGCGGTCCAAGTGGTAATAACAAAGATAATGGAAGGGAAGACGACAAAGTGGAAGCCCCTTTGGACAGGGAAATGTTAGAAGATGCTAACGAAGAAGCTGAAATCGTCGTTGCTGAGGAAAAGAAAGAACACGATACTGAAGTGGACGATGAAGACGATTGTCCTGATGAAGACAACGAGACAACAGAAGCCGACACCGAAAACAGTGAAAAGAGCGATGGAAATGGCGACGAAAGCATTGGCGATTCTTTCGAAGGTGGTATGGATGAAGACGATCGTTATTGGCTATATGGTATCACCAAGTAGAAGATGTCAGAAACTGAAGTTGTCTGATGCAGACTGAGAAAAATGAATAGACGATTCACTAAGGGAAGAACACATCTTATCCTTGGAAATCAAGAACGTGACTCCTTGGTATGCGGATTTCGTTAACTATTTGGTTGCCAAGGTGGTACCCCCGGAGCTAAGCTACAACGGGAAGAAAAAGTTCTTCCACGATGTTAGAGACTTATCTTTACTATGATATTGAATAACTATTTTTAAAATAGTTTTAGTGACAAATTAGAAGAAAATAGGTTCAGAATTTATAATTTGGTGTAGGTTATATCTATTTGGTAAATCAAACCGACTAAACCGGATTTATAGTCTAATAGGGCTTATGGCTCCATTTTGAATGACATTTGAAAATTAAAAATTCGTGATTATGAAGAATTGTCAGCCGCTTCAACTCATTGGACAAATTCTAAATTTTATGATATAATATTTCAAATTATTTATTTGAGAGAGGATATAGATAAGGTCCAATTATGCAGATAAGATGACATCTAATTAGACAAATTGTCTACATTTTTATGTGTATAATATTTTTAGAATTTATTAAAAAAAAGTAACCAGTGTATTGTTTAATCCAAAACACCTTAAACATTTTCATAGATATTCAACTTATATTTGTAAAATAAAAAATCCATTAGATATTTCATACTAAATTTTCTATTTAAATTTTTAAAAAAAAAAAGTTGTATAGATCTAGTTTTGCTCCCGACGATGCATGTACGAAAACCAATTTAGTCGGCGGCCAAAATGATTTATTATGGAAATAAAATAATATAGTTTCATCAAAACCCGGGAACGTAAATATAATCTTTGGTCTGCATGAACTAATCTTAGGTTAAATATTTATATATATATATGCATGAAATCGAGAGAATATTTTTATTTATAAATAAAATAAATAAATAAATGAAAAGCACACTATTTTCTTGAATGGACCTTCACTTGTGATTGTGGTGGGGGCAGGCGAATTCATTCCATTTTCCATTATTTGAGTTTTTTTTTTTAACAAAAAGTGCAGACACCACTCTTGCTTGTCCCAAGAACCCTCTCATGAATCTTTGGACTCCTTGAACCCCGTTTCCT